GTTTTCTATAAAGCCTGAAACATAGTATCTCTGCTGTGTGTAGATATTTTCATATTATTTGGATTCTGTTCAGGTGCAGCATTTGTTGCAGCTCCAAACTGCTGCCTTGTTTAACGTTACAGAAATAAACAGCAATAGCGGAAAGACAATTAGTAAATATTGATTTTTAGCAATCATGATGATGACGTTGTTATCAAAACTTATTGCACTACTCTGAATGTTTCTGAGTTATTTTGGAAAAATACCCCCCATGAGAAACCTCTCTGTTTACTTTGCTTGATGAAAGTTTGTTATGTCTTTCCTCATTTAAAGACTAATAAAACTGATCTTTATTATTTGGACTACTGTATACCTTTGGTTTATAACCCTTGTTTATCTTACTCTTGTTCAATACTTTAGTAAGCTTGTGTGCTTTATTGATAAATCAGACTTGGACCTGTTTTTTTGTATCATACTCATCAGTGTCATTAAATAAAATATTTTTATCAGTCTAAAAGCTATACATATATATAGATAGTTAGCTTGAGGGTTCTGCACAGTATCTTCGCTGTTCCTATAACTGCTATTACCATTAGTCCTTCTGTATATTGACGTCTAACAGGGTCTCGGCTCGGTCATTCTCTACCACCTTTGGAGGTGTTTCCCACTATGACATTAGGGTTTCCAGCCCATACTCTGGACAGATGTCCCTGTATAGTATTCCAGCCACTTGGTTATGGCACTCTATGTAAGCTTTCCCTGCCAGCATCTTACACCCTGCAGTTATGTGCTGGATTGTCTCAGGGGCCTCTTTGTACAGTCTGCACCTGGGGTCTTGTCTGGTGTGGTAGATCTGGGCCTCCATTGCTCTTGTGCTTAGGGCCTGCTCCTGTGCAGCCATGATGAGTGCCTCTGTACTGTCCTTCAGTCCGGCTTTGTCTAGCCATTTTTAGGATTTCCTGATATCTGCCACTTCGATTATGTTTCGGTGGTACATCCCGTGTAGAGGCTTATGCTCCCATGATGGAGTCTCTGGCACCTCATCTTCTGATCCCCATTGTCTGAGACATTCACTGAGGATGTCGTCTGTTGGAGCCTTGTCCTTGATGTACTTATGGATCTTGGATGTTTCATCCTGCCTAGTGGCTCTTACACTCATTAGTCCTCGGCCTCCTTCCTTATGGCGTACAGTCTCAGGGTGCTGGATTTGGGGTGGTACCCTCCGTGCATGGTTAGGAGCTTTCGTGTCTTAACATCTGTGACCTGTACCTCCTGCTTTGGCCAGCTTATTATTTCTGTAGGGTATCTGATTGCTGGCAGAGCATAGCTATTTATTCCCTGAGATTTACTCTTGCTATTGAGCTGGCTCCTTAGGACCTGCCTTACTCTTTGGAGGTATTTGGCCATAGCTGTTTTCCTTGTCACCTTTTCAAGGTTGCCATTCGCTTGTGGGATTCCATGGTACGTGTAGCTGTCCTCAATGTCTGCTATTGTTCCTTCTGGGAGTGAGACCCCCTCTGTGTGGACTACCTTCCCTTTCTTAGTCACCATCTGACCACACTTTTCTAGTCCGAATGACATATCAATGTCTGTGCTGAAGATCCGGGTGGTAAGGATAAGTGAGTCATAGTCTCGCTCATTCTTAGCGTATAACTTGATGTCATCCATGTAGAGGAGGTGACTGATTCGATACCTGTAGCCAGTGTTGTTGATTAGAGGAGG